GCAGGGGCGGGGCCAGGTCTCTTCTTTACTACAAAACAGAGGGAAGTAGCCGCGGGGAAGGAAGGGGCATCGCTCCTTTGCTTACTGTGCACCCCAGGGCGCCCTTCCCCTCTCTCCTCCTCCCCCCTCTCCTGGCCTCTCCCCTCTCCCTCCCCCTTCCTTCTCTCTCCCCTCCCCCTTCCTTCTCTCTCCCCTCCCCCTTCCTTCTCTCTCCCCTCCCCTTTCTTCCCCTCCCCTTTCTTCCCTTTCTCCTTTCCTTCCCCTTCCTACCCTTCCCCCGCCCCTTCCCCTCCTCCTCCTCCCTTCCTCCCCTCTCCCCTCCCCCGTCCCAGCAGTGCTGCCCCCCCTTACTTCCTCTTTTCCTGGCTGTGAGCGGGCCTGGGCACCCCACTGGACACAGGGGAACTTCCTCCCTCCCATCCCCCTCCGGGGAGCGTGCTGGGGAGGGGTGCGGGTGACCAGTCCTGCTCCAAGTGAAGGTGTCCGCATTCTAAGGAGCCCTGCCCTAGCCGAGCCTCGCCCCTTCCTCCGCCACCCCCCTCCTTCCACACTAGGTCCCAGAGGCCTCGGCCAGAGCTTCCCAGGGGCCATAAGGGGAGGAAGCTGGGACTGGGGGGAAGCCTCCCCAGCCAGGAGGGCAAAGCCCAGCTGAGGACACCTGCGCTCGCCCACCCCCAGGGTCCTTGAACCGGGCCCGAGGCCAGGGCAAGGCTCGGAGCCCTGGGAGCTGTGTGGGCAGGGCTTTTCCTCAATGGATCTCACCTCAGACCCTTTAAAAATGCTTAGAAACACCACCCAAGGCCATGAACGTACCGGGGAAGACTGGGTCTCCTGCCTCTGGGGCGAAATTCCCCAGGGACACATATCAGCCCCTCAAGGGCCCTGGGTGTCCCTGCGCTCAGGGGCCTACCCTTACCCACCCGCTGGCTACGCCCTTCAAGGGGGGGCAGTTCCTGGAAGATCCGGGGACTTTCAGGTCAGTCCACTTGTCCTGGGTCCCCGGCCTGGGCGGGGGGCCTGCCTCGGAGGTCGTCTCTGCCCCGGACACTGGCCCCACCCTCCAGGGTGGACCCCGGGTCACCTCCCCTCAGCCTTGGGCTGCTAAGCAGCCATTGCTCTAAGAAATGCAAGGTCACAAACACATTAGGGGTGGGAATGACACTGATCTTACGGAAAGATTCTTCTCTTTCAAGTGGCTCTTAGGGAATTTCAGTCATTACCCGCCAGAGCGAGGAGTG